TGTGAAAGAAAAGAAATATAATAGAAGAAAAATTCTAAAATCCAATTTTGGTTTTGGCCCACACATTAAGAAATCTAGAAAATATACAACAGCAACATCCCTCAGCATAGCTTCCTTTCACCTCTCTCACCTATATCCCTAGCTCCAATAGACTATAGTGCTCAGATAAGAAAATGAACAAGGACAGCATACCCTAAATAGCAGTTACTGATCCTGACATGGAATCCCAATAAAACTTGTCAGAAATGCAGAGAGAGAGATCAGTCACCTTAAATGGTCTCTTTGAGGAGGGTCCATTATCCCTTTACTTTCAGGCATTCAAAAATAAAGATCCATTGAGGATTACTTTACATACATATGTTGTTGTTGTTGTTGAGTATCATTGAGTATCACCGACTCATAGCTGATCCTCCAGGTTTTCAGAAGCAGTGAGACTCCTATTCCAGGATGAGTGTTGACACACACACACATCTCCACACACTCACACCCTCATTCATATTCTAACAGGCCAGCAAGGACATACCTCTTACATTATTCCAGGAAAGCAAGTAAATGCTAAATAAATGAAAGCCTAGGTGAGGGGGAGAGGTTTCTCTTTTAGAGAAACAAGGTGGGGGTGAATCACTTTCAGTAGAGTTGTTTAGGGACTGGACTGGCTAGTGCTGAAATTATGAGGAAAATAAATATCAACATTAGGTAAAATTCTTCAGAGAGTTACAGGCAGCAGACCAAGATGGAGAGCCCTTCTGTGGTGCAAATACCAGGTCCACATGAATGTTGAGGGGCGTGTATGCCTCACCCATCCACACGCAAAAGTAATCCTGAAGAACTTCTGCACTAACTTTTAAAGCAACAGTGTGTCACCAGAGGCAGAGAAGCTGTTTGGTCCCTCTGTTAAGGAAAAGTTTTGACTCAAACCTGTTCCAAGGACTGGAAACGATAGAAACAAACTCATAGCACAATGTTCTGTGATCAAATTAGTAAACTCATACCAACTCAGAGAGAAACCCACCCCTGTGTGAACTCAAATGGTCCTTCTCTCTCTCCTCTCTTGGGCAGTGCTAGGCTTGTTACAAACAAGCGCCCTTAAACCACTGGATCGGCATTAATCTCGGGAAGGGGCGGTCAAATGCAAATGCATAACAAATCTTAAATAAAGATGGTAAAAGCAATTTATCTTTTTGGAAGGCAGATGCCAAAGTAGCAGAGCGACTTAAAAAGATGATTAGAAACATATTTTATATCAGGAGAGCATAACAATAATAATAGCAAAGAATAATAAATGTGCAAAATACAGTAGAGACTTACCAAACACTAAATTCATGATAAACTGGAAATAGAAACAAGGACATATAAAGCCAACCAGAAATCGCGGAATGGCTTCACATTCAGAATGAACAGAAGTAAGAGACATTACCCCGGTCTGGCACTTTCTCAACATTTCCCAAGTGGCACAACAGACTGGAACTGCTTGTGGGCAGGGCTGGCAGGCGTTAGACTCGCCTTAATGCCTACTCCAGCACCAAGCACAGGCCCAGGCCCGCAGCAGGCACCCCGTGAGCATGTGCTGTTAATGTTCACTGGATCTCCCCCAAAATGAGGAAGAAACAGCGTCCAAATGCACACGTGGCAGGAGGGATGCAAAGAGAGGCAGAGTCACACTTTCCGCACATGGTCTGCTAATGATGCAGAAACTGGGAAATGGAGCCTGCAATCAAACCTGGTTCCCTCCACGGCCTGCAGGCTATCAATTACAGCCACTGGGAAACCCTCCGAGAGAGAAACCAAATCATTTTCTATTCCATTTTAATAAAAGCAGGGAAGAGTCCATATTCACATGGACTGAACCCATCTTGTTTGGTTTCAAAAATATTTCTAGGTAATTTGCTATTAACTGTTAGAACTTCCATTTTACTTTGCTCTTAAACCTGAGGCTTGAATGCTTTAAAGAAATTTTTCTACATACTAATGCTTTAATTTAGGAGAGTCCATCATTCTCCTATATGCGTTTAACAGTATAGGAGACAAAAGAAGAGATCTTTTTTAAAAGAAGGCATAGGACTCTCTTCTGTCTGGTACACAAGAACGGCATTTGGCTTCAAGAAGAGTTTTTAAATTGTCTGGCTCATCAGGATACTAGAGTCTGGGATAACTTTAGGATATACAATGTCTAAGCTGCAAATTTAAATTAAAAATGACTGCTTATTCCTTGGGAAAGCCCAATTTTAAACAGGAAGCTCCTTCAGTATAACTCAGGTAAAAGACTGAAAAAAGTGGTGAAGGGGGGGGAAGAGGCCCAATTGTGCCTATGAGTCTAAGGTAAATGCTGTCTGCCAGGCTGGCTCAGGGAACTGCTTCACTTTCAATTTCCATTTCATCTCCTTCTTCTCAAATGAAAAGTCTAGGGAGTCATTCAAGTACCTTCCTAAATCACCTCTGCAGAAAATTACAAAGGTTGAAGTTGAAAACTGAAACCAATAGGTCCCCAAACGAATATTTCCAGTGCCCTGGCCTTTTCTCAAGGCTATGAATAGCTTCCTTGAAGCCCAGCATATCTGCTGACCTTATGCAGGTGCATTAAGGTCACCTGGGGAGGGTGAACTCACCAACACTATGCGGGTTGACAGCCTCCTTTCACTCATCCTGCCAAGTGGGGCAGGGCCCCAAAAGCAAAAATCATCTGGAGCTGGACCTATGTCAAAATCAGGACCCAACAAGTAGTTCCATTTAGATTCCTAACAGAAATGTGTTTAAATCTCCCTTTAGTAAACCAATTATAAGCCTTTATCAAATGATAAGGTCCTGATAAAATAAAAAGTGCTGATATCTTTGACAAAATTTTTATAAAAATTTGTGCTGATTCTAATAAATTCCCAGGGTCCACAGCCGAATCAGATGGTCTCATATACTCTAAGAAAGATCTCAGTTAGCCAATCAAACAAGACATTAAAAAACTCTGCCAGAAACTTGCCTCCCTAACAACCATAAGCTATATTAAAAGCCAAAAACTTCAGAACAAAGCTCAGAGGCGACAAAGGGGAGGGGAGCCTTCCGAGTCTTTAACAATAACTCAGAAAACATTAAAAATGAGTTGGACGGAAGTGTTTACAAGGAACTGGTATCATCCCACAGATTTAGCCTCTGATCTTTGTTTTTTCCCTAGGGTTTTTTTTAAAGGGTATTTTTTTTTTTTCATTGATTGTGGGGTGGGAAAAAAATGTCGCTTTTGAGCTCAGCACAATGAACTATTTATCTGACCGGACAAGCCAATCAATCTCCCTGCTGTTTATCGTAAGGAGTTGTGGGAGACTGTTGGTCTTGACTGCTGGGGGAGGGCTGGAGGCAGCCCTGGTCCTCACACACAATGCCACATTTCAACTGGAAATTTATGTTTGGCCCAAGTGACCCAGGAGGTCAGCACAGAGCCTAGGACAGAATGAAGATGGTCTGTTACACATTGCAGACTTACAGAATGTCCCTGTGGGCTAAGGATTCAAAGCCAGAGGCCTATTCATTATAGAAAACACCTATAAAACAGTGATCGTAATCAGGTCATGCTGCCTAACTAAGGCAGATGCCCTTTCATTCTTTTTTTTAAAATTAAAATGAATATAAAATTCTGAAGGGGAATATAAAGGCCAGATATTATTTTAGCTGCAAAAGAAAACAATTATGGGGGGAAGGATTGTTTTTCTTTGCTTTTATGTCAAGTTCTCAGTTAGTTTTACCTGACTCATCTTTGCCCCTGGTCAGTGTGTATGGGACTCCTTCTTGGCCCAATACCCCAAGCAACTGGAGAGGCCAGGGAGGGAGAGCTGGTGACACTGAAAGATGCACTGAGCTTGGATCTCTATTCTGATAAGGGAGTTTGAAGCTTGTTTGCAAGAATGCAGGAGGCAACTTTTTCTCAAACAGTGCAGTTTTGTAGCAAACTACACTTAATTCTTAATGTGGGAAATCTCCTGCATTGATAGAAAGGGGTTTAGAAAGAAAGAAAATCCTATAGCAGCTAACAAACGTGGGCCTCTAGCCAATATTTCATCTGAATAATTCAAAAAAGGAAATGTAAACCAGGGCAGCTGGGGTGGGGGGAGGAACAGGACGGAAGATAGACACAAAGCTTGCGTCTCGAGCACTATGATCAATGGACAGTTTATTGAACAAATTCTTCTGCTGTCTAAATTTTATGAAAGATGAGCTGTTCTTTCCCATGGTTATGTAAACTTGCTGCTTCTTTTTCATTTTCTGAGAAAGCTTTGCTAGTAAGGCTCCCGCTTTTGCCTAACTCTGGCTTTCTCTTTGAAGCAGTCCAAAGCCCGTTAAAACACCTGCAGCTGCATGCTAACCTACTGCAGGCGTGTTCTCAGAGGGAAAGAATCAGGAAGAACTGAGAGGGATCCAGCACCCCTGAGGCGAGAGCCTAAAACTGTGGCGAGTCACCTCTGCCACTTGTCTTCTCATACCATCTTAATCACATCAATGATCACAAATCAAAGGTGGAGTAGAAAACAACTTCAGCAGGCTAGGATTTTAAAATTCACCTAAGGTTTCAAAACAGGGGAGGACGACCAGGCTTGTTAGAGATGTCCTGGTTAGAGGGTTATATTAGCTGGGTCTTCGTCATAAACTGACAAATCAGTGTCTGTGTTAAGGAACCCAGAGGTTAGAAAGAGAAATGGCCTCAAATTAAAGAGAGACAATTGTCAGATACACACAGCTATGCCAGGACATTCTGTACATGTACCTTTCATCCAGGAAAATACATGTGAAAGGATACAATCCTTTACAAATTTAGTCCATAGTCCCACTGTCAAGAGATGTCTGTTAACTTCCTTTAATATAGTTCCTGTTTTATTACTTGCCATTCTAACATCTTTATCAGAAAACAAAAAGGTAAGCTCTGTTTAAATTTTTTGAAATTCAAAACTTGACACGGTTCACCTAGAAGCTTGCAGTCTGGGGTCGTGTGTGGGCTGGGGGCTCGCTCTTCTTTACCATACCTCTCTTGTTGGTTCTTAAAATGGTTTCAGAAGACAGCAAAGAGTTTCCACTGGCTACTTCGTGCATGGGCTTTTCTGGAGCTTTGCTGGTGAGAGGGTCTTTCTTCACCTCTTTCTTTATTTCCTGTGAGAGCAGACAAAAGGAAAACAAGGCTGTAGTTTGTGATTTTGAGATGCTTCTTCAACAATTTTAAGCTTCCGTTGCCACGAATGAACTACACTGACTCCCACCTTGGCATAACATTATTTCCTATAGCTTCGTAGCTTTCCCCCTTCCATTTATTAGAGAGGTGCCTGATTTAATAAAATGGAGTAATGTCTCATGAGGTGTTATCATCTTACATGACTAAAGAAAACTAGAGGCACCGTGGGTTAACATGTTGGGCTGTTCCAAGATCATTATGTTGTTATATGCAGCTAAATCAGAATCGACTCATAGCTGACCTTCCAGCTGATTTTCAGAGGTTATAAGTCACATGGGAAGAGACTCCCCATCTTTCTCACACAGAGCAGCTGGTGGATTTGAACTGCCTACTTTTGAGTTAGCGCTGCAACTCCTTACCACTAGGCCACCCTAGCTCTTTCAAAAGGTCAGCAGTTCAAATATACTAGCTACTGCAAGGACACAAGATGGAGCAGTGTGCTTCCATGAAAATGTACAACCTTAGAAATCCAACTGGGGCGGGGGTCACCATGTGCTGACTCTGCAGCTATGTGCTGGGTTGGGTTTCGTGATCGTGCGGTGTGAAGGCTATGCAGAAAGCATAGTCATCAGGCAGCTACTTTTAAACAATAAAGTATGAGCAACCAGGGCCCTTTCAAGCCTTGATTTCTGAGGGGAGGAATGATGTATATTGCATTGAAAAAGATGAGGAAGAGAAAAGTTTAAAAGGTATATATGAATGGGTATTTTTGTCATTACAGAAGTCCAGAGTAAAGGCTGCATAGTGGATTGGATTTGCGGGGGAGGGACTGCATAATAATGAAAGAGACTTTCTTTCTTTTCAAGGAGAAGACTGAATTGGGGGACAGGGGTTGGTAGGAAGAAAAGCACAACAATGAATGACTGGAAACCCTAAGTCTCTGTACACTTTCATTAAAATTAATTTTTTTTAAAAAGCCTTGATTTCTAGTCTTCTCAACAAGAGTTTTAACAAGTATATTCACAAATTACTGCTATTCTCACAATTTTAATAAACCAAAAGGAGGATGATTAAATTAATTTACAGGATTCAAACTTCTCTGGCTTATCAACTCTTAACAATAAAACTTCAAGATGGCAAACTAAAATAAAGACTATGATTCTAGACACAAGGTCATCAAACTGCAACCCACTGCCTGCTTTGAGTTTCCACCAACTATTTTTGTAAATAAATACATGTTTTTAATAGCCTTTACTGTGATTTGGGAGAAAGCTTACAGAATAAATTATTAGCTCTCCATACAGTTAATTCATATTCATTTTGTTTTATGACACCAGTTGCAGTCCCTGCAAAGGAAGACCAGTCCGCCTCTTTTCCTATCACATAAACAGTTTTATTAGAACACAATCATGTTTATTTAGTTAAGTATTATCTCTGTTGTAACAGTAGAGTTGAGTAATTACAACGGACTAAAGCCTAAAATATTTACTATCTGACCCTTTCCTGGATGCTTACCAAGTCCTGTGCCGAGTGGACTCCTGTCAAAGTGTTTAAAAGGAATATAGGACTAGGTCTCATTTTCACGACAATATTCCAGAAAAAGAAATGCATAGTAAAGTGGGCTGTGGACTTGGGGTGGAGGAGTGTATATTAATGACAGATTTTTTTTTTTCTTTTCAAAGAGAAGAGGGAACTGGGGGGAGGGGTGGGCAGAGAGGAAAATGTGCAACAATGAATGAATGGGAAAAGAAATTAGATGGGAATATGCTGTAAAAATATATGTATGTTGCATTAAAAAAATTGTCACCAGTATGACGTGTAAATCTTCACGCAAATAAATAAAAATTATATTTGTAAAAAAAAGACCTCTCTGATTTTTAAAAAGTGCTGAAAGGTAATTGCAAATTACTTGAATAATCTACTCAAGTCTTTTCAAAGACATGAATAACGTCAAATCATAGTGTGTCCCAAACTGCAAGTATGTCTACAAGAATCATTCCCAAAGAAGTAGAAAGTTTCTAGGCCATGATGTTAAATTTGGGAAAGAGGGGGAAAAAAGACGCCAAGGGCTAGACAGACCCATGTGAGACTGAAGGGCAGCAAGGTAAGGATAAGGAATGTTTTCTCTAGAAAGGCAGTGGGGTAAGGCTTGGGATCAACTCACCCTTAAGCTGAACAAAAGGGAAACTGGGAAGGAGTGCAAGGTGCAGCCTTAGCATGGGGCAGAAGTGGAAAGAAAACAGCACAGCTTGTGCAAGCACAGTCAGTGCTCACAGTGCCCGGCAACTTCCTATGCACCCCATTGCTACCTGCTTCAACTGTCTGTGGCTCCGTTCAAAGCAGCCTTGCCCTCTTTTCCCTCACCAGGGCCCCACCGGAAATGACGAATTGGGGCTGGCTTTTTGTAGGGTTTTGGGTGGTATCTCAGAAACGTAACCAGACCACCCATCCAGAGCTGAGTGTATTTGCACACACGGACACCCACCTCAGCAGCCCCAGCACCTGCTAGAACAGCAAGCAATCGCTGATGGTTCCTAAGCTTCATAAGCAGATGGTATCAGGGAAATCTACAAACACTGCCCTCCTGGTTCACAAGGCGGGGGCTCTCAGTGATGGCTGCCCTACTGCTAGGCCTTTTCAAGTAAAGAAAATGAGCCGTCAAGGGGGCTTGGTCCCCAACAGTGCTTTTAGTAGAGGAAGAACGGTTGCTCAGCCCTTACTTCCTGTTATGACTGTGCACACACCACTGTCCCACCTAGATCCAACACCATGTAGTAACACAACACTTAACCTCACCATGGAGCAATTTTGGGCATTATGGGCAACACTGCAATAGCTTGCATAGCACACACTGCTAATGTGGGAGGCAGTGATGGTTCAGTGATAGGATTATTTCCTTCCATGCACGAGACTCAGGTCTGATTACTGCCAGTGTAGCTCATGTGCAGCTACCACCCATCTGTCAGTTGAGGCTTCTGTGTTGCTAGGATGCTGAAAAGGTTTCGGCAGAGCTTCCAAATGAAGACAGACCAAGAAGAAAATCCTGACAACCTAACTTTCAAAACACAGCCAATGAAAACTCCATGGACCACAAAAGCCCAATCCACAACCAATCATGGATCAAGCAGTGTTTTGTTCCATTCTAGATGGAGTCACAACGTGACAAAACCTAACAAAACTTCTCAAAGTACTTAGTTTGAAGGGGAAGAGATAAAGGGCAAACACTGGGAAGCAATCCACTGGAGAAAGCCTCTGAATGTGTGCCACCCAGGCAACATGCTGGGCACACGGTTTGAAAGGAGTGGGCTTATCAAGAGCAATAACCTAAGTGGGAGGAAACCAGGGCCAGGAGAGTGACAAGTTGGAGTCTATAAATTCCAGACCTGTCGTTCCTCCAATGCTCGTTTACATTTGCCAGACAGCCGAGACTAATGATGAGTACACTTTTTCAGCCGATTCTCAGACGGAAGCACTAAGAAGCTCACATTTCAATTGTGCCTGTAGCTGGTTTCCGAGAAGCCTGTCCCACACAGGGCAGGGCACCCAATTCTGCAGAATTCTCACCTAGACAACATCCAGGTCCTCCAGATTCCACGCCGCCCTACCTAAACCCATCCCTTTGCTCCAAGCTGCTGCTTCCCCCGAGTGGCCATCACATCTAACATCCCACCATCCACCCACTTACCTGGGCTGGAAACACATGGCACTCACCCCCGGGTCTAACCCATCATCCAGCCCAAGATGTTTCTACTGTCTCAAATGGTTTCTCTCCATTCCACCTGCCTTAAAAACATGAATAATAGGCCGATATTCAAGTGCTTTGTCATGTACCAAACCCGGCTCTGAGGACTCCACCTCCACTAGGGCATTTAATCTGCACAACAGCCCATGAAGTCAGCACTATCATCTTTATTTTACAGCTGCTTACGCTAGGCAGGGTCTTAACAAAACTTAACCAAGGTCAAACAAGTAGCAGAGCTATAGCTGGAACCCAACAGCGTAGACACAGAGCTCCTATCTGTAACACTCTTCTCTTAATCTTTCCAGAATTCTAACAATGTGCTACCTCCTAACTCCTCTCCCTGCCTCCAGTCTCCCCTCCCAGCTAGCCTCACTCAGTCACAGGGATCACCTTCCAACTGCTATTGTCACATCCCTACTGCAAACCTCCTGGTGCTTCAAAAGGCCACAGGACAGACCTTTCCGTTCGAAACCCTTTCAGGACAGAAAGCAAGTCATTGGTCCCTGTGTACCTGCTTTTGGTTAAATACAGCTGACGTGCATGCTAACCCAATGGTAGCAATTACTTTGCAAATTTGAGGGAGGAAGGGTGCTCTTCTTTTTTTTATAGTTACAATTACTTCTTTATTGTAAATACATTATCTTAAGTCTGTATTTTTTTTTAATTTCTTGCAATTAACTTTATTTTTACACTGATTTACCAACAAAGTTTGTATACATTGTCCCTCATACCGGATCCCCTCCCACCTCCCTAACCCAACACCTCACCCATCAAACCATGTGACTTTTTTACCACAAAAACTGAGTAGTTGTGATAAAGAGAATATGGTTTCAAAAGCTAAAATTTTCCAGTCTCATCTCTACTGTACCATATAAAAAGAGGACACAGAATATTCTTGAACGTAAATGCACAGCGTTCTGATGTCAAAGGCTCCTATTGGTAGGCTCTAAAAATGGCTGATAATGCTGGCAACGATACCACATCACACTGGCAAAGGCTTAAATTAAAGGATGCTAGGTCTCTTTTCACTTGTTTCTCATGCTCACACCGTCAGGCAGACCCAACTGGTTTTGCTAGACTGACATGCTGACATGCGAGAAGAATAACGAGACCTCGTCAGAGGATGCAGAGCGAGTCCAAGGTCCAAAGCAGAGTCAGCTCAGGAAGCAAAGCCTGGTCCTTCTAGGTAGAGCTCTCCCGCCACACCTCACCTCCTCCAAACAGAGCTCTCCTGCCACA